CAAGTTGCCCAGGCGGGTCTTGAACCCGCGGGCTCAGGCAATCTACTCACCTCGGCCTCCCAAAGTGCTAGGATTACAGGCCGGAGGCAACAGTCTTTTTAGAGACTCCTCTGGTGATTGCAACATGGTCCGGGGCTGAGAACAGCACTTTGGATTTTTGTTTTTGTTTTTGCTTTATGTTTTGTTTTTCGAGTCAAGGATCTCTGTCACCCAGGCTGGAGTGCAGCAGCATGATCACGACAGCCATGGTTCACCACAGCCTCAACCTCTTAGGTTCAGGCAATCTGTCCACCTCAGCATTCTGAGTAGCTGGGACTGCAGACGTACATCACCATACCTGGCTCATTTTTTGATGGTTGTTTGTTTGTTTTTGAGTCAGAGTTTCACTCTGTTGCCCAGGCTGGAGTGCAGTGGCACGCTCACGGCCACCGCAGCCTCGACCTGCTGGGCTCAGGCGATCCTTCTGCCTCAGCCTCCCAAGAAGCTGGAATCACAGGTCTGCATCACCACGCCTAGATAATTTTTTGATGTATCGTAGAGACTGCACCCCTCTGGGTGTCCTGCATTTCACTTTGATCCTAAGCTGTCTATCCAGGGCTAACATCAGACCCCACACCTTGGAGGGCTCAGTCCCACAAGACCGCCCCTGTTTTCGATGCCAGCTGGGACTTCTGACCAACTGGCTATAAACTCGAGTCATCTCACCTACGAAATGCAGGAATACCAGTTGATTATGAAAGACACACCCCAGGAACAGCCAGAGGGAAGGGATGCCCCAGGCAAGGCCTGGGAGGAGGGGTGTGGTGCTTTGACCTCCACTCCAGGCCTCCCTCCTAGAATCTCCATGTGCATGCCAACCCCGAAGCCCTCAGAGCCCTGACATCTAGGGTTTTTGCACGGGTCTTGTTCTATAGGCACGAGTGATTAAAACATGAGCCGTTGGTGAGGAGCTCAGTCCTCAGTTCCTCTTCTTTCTTCCCTGAGGTCTCTGGCAGGGGGGCTGAAGGTTCCACCCCTCTAATCATGCCTGGGGCTCAGAAAGACTCCAGAGTTTCCAAAGGTTTTAGGAGCTATGTGCCAGGAACAGGGACAAACACCAAACGTGTATTTTTTTCTCACATCATGCAGGTCATCCTAGACTTCTCCCCGCCTTCTACGCCCCCCATTTAAGACTTTATAATTCTGTTTCCTTAGTATCTTTCAGATCCGTTCATCTCGGTCTGGGAGTGGTAAGTCAGCACTTTAGGAGGTCAAGGCAGAAGGTATCTTGAGCCCAGGTGTTCGGCAGACTCAGACCTCGTCTTTACTAAATCAAAACATTTTCCAGGCATAGTGGCGCACACCTATAGTCCCAGCTACCAGGGAGGCTGAGGCAGAAGGATCGCCCAAGCCCAGGTGGTGGTCGAGGCTGCCATGAGCCATGACCGTGCCACCACACTCCAGCCCGGGCAACAGAGTGAGACCCCAACTCGAAAAAAAAAAAAATCAGATCCATTCACATTCATCCTGGTCTGCCACTGCCTTGGCCCTCCTTTCATACTCATCATTCTCACTTCCTCTGGGTTTGTCCCTCTGTCTGTCCTTCCTCAGAGTCTCCCAAACAGATCTATCTAAAACCTAACTCTGATTGTGTCACTTCCCTGTAAAACAAAACAAAAACGAGCAACACCGTCCTTGACCATCCAGTGCTTTCAGGGTACAGTTTATACCAGAGTTAAGAAATTCAAGCAGCAGGAGGGTACCAAGGGGGTGATGTCGATGTCTGCATGTGTCTAGGCTGGGCAGAGAGACTCTAGGAAAGCAGAGACCTTATGGGTCACTAGGGGCGGGGCAGCTATTACCTAAATCTCATCTCCAGCTGCTAGTTGCATGTGGTGTCACCAGATCCTTTGCTTTTCAAGAGAATCAGGACATCTGGGTTTTTGTAAATGCTGGTGGGTAGTCTGCCTTTTTAATAATATAGTGCAAGCCAGGCGCCGTGGCTTATGCCTGTAAGCCCAGTGCTTTGGGAGGCCAAGGCAGAAGGATCGCTTGAGGTCAGGAGTTCAACACCACCTGGGGCAGCATATCGAGACCATTGCCTCTTCTACCACATTGAGAGGCGTCAGGTTACACGTGGATTCTCATCTTTTGCCTTTCTAAGTCCCTAGGCACGATTCTGAGTACCAGCACTTCCGTACCAAATATAACTAGAAATAGACTGTGATTTAGAATGAATGAGATGTGATCTTCTTGACAGATGTTTAACACAGAAGAAAAGAAATCTTTGCAGACGCACAGAGTCACGGTGCACGGGGCCCCCGGTCCAGAACCCTTCACTGTTTTCACTGTTAGTGGAGGCACCAAGGCAAAGCAGCTTCTCCAGCAAGTAAGTCCGCTGAGCCCATGGCTGGGCGAGTCTGGTATCTCATGTGTATGGATGGGGACGTGTGTGTGTGTGTGTGTGTGTGTGTGTGTGTGTGTAAATGCATGTGGGTGTGAACATACACAGATGCATATCAACAAACAAAAGTCCATGTTGATGACACGCATTTTGATTATTTGTGAATGTGTTATTCAACACCGAGATCCACCCTAAGAAAGGGCTGAGGGATCTTGGTGCTGCTAGACAAGTGACCTTAACTTATAGAGAAGAATTTTTGACAAGTCTTCAGCTACATAAAACGCTGGGCTCTAGATGGATAAAGACCAGACTGACTGGCCTCCCCCGACTACATATACTCTGTGCCTCCAAGCCTAGACACAAACTTCATCTTCCTTCTTAACAGAGAGCTTACTGATCAATCAGAATTTTCACAGGAGCTGAATGAAGTCTGTTTGCCATCCCAGAAGTTAGAGCAAATTCTTAGAGTTGCTGGGTGTGGTGGCTCACTCCTGTCATCCCAGCATTTTGGGAGGCTAAGGCAAGAGTATTGCCCAGAAGTTCGAGACCAGCCTGGGCAGCATAGCAAGACCTCATCTCTGCAAATAGTACTAATAATAATAATAACAATTTAAAAATTAGCTGGGCTTGGTGGTGCGCAGCTGTCGTCCCAGCAGCTCAGCAGGCTGAGGTGGGAGGGAGGATTGCCTAAGCCCAGGAGGTTAAGTCTGCTGCAAGCCACGATCAAAGTGATTGTGCCACTGCACTTCAACCTAGGCGACAGTGTGTGACTCCGACTTAAAAAAAATTGTTATAGCCACACGGACCAAGAATACCCCTCTGCCCTCCAGCCTGAGGCATTTCCCTGCATGCTGAACAGGCCCCTGGCTCCCCATGCCCTGGGACTCGGCCCTGGCCTGTGAAGTCCTCTCCCCCTGGTGCTATGAAGAGCCATCGAGAGCCTAAAACCAGAGGATGAGAGCCTGTGACCCAAGCCCTGTGGCAGGACTGGCCGGAGCCCTCATGCCAACCACTTCTGCCCCAGATCCCCCCACCCCCCGGGGAGCTTCATGGCATTCTGCAGGCAGGGTCGCTGTCCATGGGAGGACTCATAGGAGGGAGAAAGCCAGGAACAAGGAGCAGCATCCAGGGAAGGGAGGGCAGCCCTTCCAAAGGGCAAAGCGGGGCCATCTGTGATTCCTTTACTCCCCACACTAGACGCGCTGTCCTTGCTGGGTGTCGTGGCCTGACATCCTTGCAGACGGTTTTATCCTGGATCCATTTCAGAATCCCTTCTCCTCCCTGGGTTGAGGGAGAAGGTCCAGGGATCAATGGTGAAGGAGAGGGACTCTTGTGTGATGAAACGTTGCTGGAATCATAAATGTGTGAGGGAATTAAAACCCAAGTGACGCTGCACACGGTAGCTCATGGTTATAATCCCAGCACTTTGGGAGGCCGAGGAGAGAGGATCACTTGAACCCAGGAATTTGAGGCCAACCTAGGCCACACAGGGAGAGCTCATCTCTATAGAAAATCAGGAAATTAGCCGGGCATCATGGCACGCGTCTGTAATCCCAGCTACTTGAGAGGCTGAGGCTGAAAGATATTTTAAGCCCAGGAGGTCTGGGCTGTGGTGAGCCGTGATCATGCCACTATGTGTCGGCCTGGGCAACAAAGTGAGACCTTGACTCAGAAAACAAACAAAAAACCCAACCGGATAACCATACATAAGTTAGTTAATAAATGACTCTGTCCTTTGAGGGCACATGTCTATAGAGAAGCCAACATTCTGCACATTTTGTTTGTTTGTTTGTTTGTTTGTTTGTTTGAGTTGGAGTCTCACTCTGTCACCCAGACTGGAGTACAGTGGCCGCTCCCAGCCACT